AATAAAATCATAATCATAATTATACACACACACCACAAACACACACACACACACACACATATATATATATATATATATATATATATATATATATTCATGTAAAGTCCTCAGAATACACACACACACACACACACACACACACACACACACACACATATATATATATATATATATATATATATATATATATATATTCATGTTAAAGTCCTCAGAATAAATCTGTAGAGAAGACAAATCGAATAAAATAGAGAATAAGAAAAATAGTACTTAGTTCTTGCCAACGTATTCTCGTCATTTGACTTTATCAAGGCAAGTGATGATAAACAATAGCTAAATGTTGTCTAGTTACATGAAATTCAAAAATTTAAAAAAGAGCGCTCATGTGTTAGTCTCTTTTTGATTATTAGTAACTTTATTAATTAAATTTTACTAAGAGATTTTTACTAAGAATTTTTTACTAAGAGTTTTTTTACTAAGAGTGTGTTTTTGTTTTCTATGTCGACACATGCTTACACATGAGCGTCTTTTTAAAGTCCATCTCGGACATTTACAATTCTGCCATTCGCCCTTGCATTGAATACTGTTGCTATATCTGGTCCGCTGCCCCTGCTGTTCATCTAAAATTCTTGATAAAATCCAAAGAAGGATCTGCAATGTAATCAATTCTGACTTGGCATCTGGACTTAGTCCCTTTCACACAGACGTGGTGTGACTTCCCTCTGTCTTTTCTACAAAGATTTTTCATGGCAATTTCTCCGACGAGCTATTTTTCCCTGCACGAATTTAAACGAGCTTCTAGATTGGCATCTAATTTCCATCCTTTCACTGTTGAATTAGTTAAATGTAACCGCCACTTCTAATCCAACAGTTTCTTTTCTTGCACTTCCTGTCTGCGGAACTCCCTTCAGCTTCCTTGCTTACCCGATAACTACAATCTTCAAAAATTTAAATGCAACCTCAATCACTGTCTTCTGTTGTCTTTTATCCTTTCCTCAATCCACCCTATACTCAGTTTTTAATTTCACCTGCACTCTCTGAAACACCCTGCGTACTAGTGGCACTCCCGCCTTGCTTGGGTTGAAATAATTAAAAAAAAAGTTTGAACTGAATAAGATAGATAGATAGATAGATAGATAGATAGATAGATAGTGTGTGAGGTATTCTTTTTGGTACATGACGTGCATGCATTCACACGATTTTTGTCGTCTGCCTGATGGTTTTATCCTCATAATCCATCAGGGTATAATAAAAGTTGTTTAATGTACTACCCGATTTTCTTTTAGTGTCGCGACCAGCCGAGAAATGTTTATTCAAGAATATTGGAAAAGGCGAGGTGTAGAAACAGCAATTGAATCACAAGTAACAAAATGGCGCCCGTCCTGTTTACACGACGTCGAAAATCTAAGATGGTATCGACATTTGGGTAACTGAAAAAGGTGAACAAGGGCGAGAGGTTTGTTTTGGTTTGGTTTGTTTTACAACATATCAACCTCCATGGATTATTTAATGCCGATAATATTTTTATTGTTGGTAATATTTTTTTTTAAATGTATTCCTGGTAATGTATTTTTTTTTTCAAAAATGTACTGCTGGTAATAATTTTTTCTTCAAAAATGTGTTGCTGGTATTTTTTCCAAGAGGTATTGCTGGTAATAATTTTTCCCAAATATGTATTGCTGGTATTAAAACCTATTTTTACACTTTTATGGCGTTTTGACCATAGCTAAAACCCCTAACAACTGCTCCCACTCCGGATCAGGGTGGACACCAGTAATTAAGAGGTGGTTCCATGCTCCTCAAAAACTTCCTGATCAGTCGATACTAGACGAGCTCCCAAGGGAAAGAGATGCTAGCCCCTAACTGGTCGAAAGTTTTCTTTTCTTTTTCAACTTCTGGGCGTCCTAGGTAAGACGATAAGCTACATCTGACAGCAAGGTCAAGATCAGGAGGTTTTGAGGAGTGTGGAACCACCTCTTAATTGCTGGTGTTCCCAGGTCCACCCTGACCAGGGGTGGTAGCACCTGTTAGGGTCCCAGCTATGGGCAAATAGTTAACCCCAAATCTAGGGTCAAAATATTATGAAAGTGTAATACTTTGTAAAAAAAATTAACATCAATAAATTTTTAAAGGAAAAAATTATTGGCAACAATACATTTAAAAAAAAATTCCCAGCAATACAGTTTTGAAAAAAATATTACCAGCAATAAAAATTTTGTCGGCATTAAATAAGCCATTGAGTTTGATATGCCGTAAAACAAACCAGACAAAACCAAACCAATCATTTCAGTTGGAAATGTCACGCAATATTAACTTCATTTAAAGAATCTTTCTCTCTGCCTATCGATCCCAACACTCACCCATCTCTCTCTATATATCTCTCTCGCACATGTAGATGTGCGTGCGTGTGTGTGTTCGGGAAAGGGGTATTGTTCCTATGTCATAATTATGTGTTCTATCTGTTGATATTTACTAAAAGCGGACAAGACTAACACGAAGACAAGAGCCTCGAATTAGGCGCGAACTCCTCTTCTTCTATGTGCCAAATCCTGTTTAGGACGTTGGCTGTCTACAACTTCCTATTCTTCGTAGTTCTTAGTAAATTTTATCTTGTTGCTATGTATCTTAAGCCTTTTGTTTTACGACATATCAACACCTCAATGGGTTATTTAATGCCGACAAGATTTTTATTGATGGTAATATTTTTATAATTTAACACAATATTATTTTTGGTTTTAAGTCAAGTACGGCGCCTGTCTTAACCCTAAAACACTAACCATGGGTATATAGTACCCAGCGCAAATTTTCCTATTTTTAATTACAATTTTCAGTGCCTGATTTTCTTACCTAAATATTA